ATTTTAAATTACAAATTTATGATTCATTACAGTATTTCCGCAGCTTTCTCTCTTTAACCCATTTACCACCCCTCCTACTCTCACCGTACCCCATCTCCACCCACCCCATTCCTTCCCTTCCATATCCCCATCACCGATACACCATAACAAAATAACCAGTCTTTTCCTTCAACAAAGTAACCCAGACTCCAGATCACTGTCCCCGTATGAGGTAGAGGAGTCCAAACCTGGAAACAACCCAATAGAAGACTCCAGATCAAAGCGATTCCGAAAGGGGTCAGTCGAACGCTAATAACCACTCTGCGACGTACGTATGCACTCCTTTGACCTCCCAAACGATCACTTGAATGTCTGGTCATCTATCTCGCTTTACAAACCATGAGTGCTCAGTGGGAATCTCCGACCCATACGCTCAGGCCTACCGCCTGTCACTGCCCGTCCGGCCAACCACTCGCCTTCTAGACCAGAGTTTCCCAACATGGTCAGTACTGCCCCCCTGGGGGTCGATGCAATTTTGAAGAGAGTCAATGATGTTAAAGGAGAGAATTGGGGGTCGGTAGCCGAATATGCAGCATCAAGTTATCGGTATAATCAAGATCATTTTGTTTACAAAAAGTATAAATATAATTCGTGATTTTTTATACAAGACTCAAAACAACTAATAAAACGTGGCTATATTTCTCAAGGTTAAAGATTATAATAGTACAAAAAAATATAAACCTAATTCATAATTTTTTTAAACTGTCATTCACGTTTTTGTCAAATTGCCACCAAGTCAGTTATGTGTAATTAATTGCGTTGTAATTATTTTGTACGCCGTATATTAGGTCATGTACAATTTTTCGAAATTTGAGTAATTTGCGCGTAATTTTACTTGAAAGTTCGAGCGAGAAAGTACATGCGGTTTTAGCACCACAATTTAATTCTCAGAACATCATTTGCTGGCTAGCCAGCCGAAGCCTCCTTCCGATCATCGTCTCAGTTTCCAACCCCTGCCGAACTGCCCGGCCGGTGTCCGCAAGCGCCAGGGCGAGCGCTCGAGGTCGGCGCCAGTAATTACGAACTTTTTGCCGCGCAGCGCTCGGCACGAGCGAAAACAAGGGCTGGAGCGCCCCGCCCCCCCTCCCACCCACCCACCGCGGTTTCAATTTAAATGCTAATAATAGATTTAAAAGTGCACGCGCGCTGCCCGCCAACCGCTTGCACTGAGAGCTATGTAATAGCGCACGGGCGAGGCGGAAATGGCAGCATCCAATGATGAGCGAGAGAGAGAGAGAGAGAGAGAGAGAGAGAGAGAGGATCGGAGGAACAAGCAAAAATGGGGGGAGTGAGAGAGAGGATGAGATGGAGAGAGGACAAGTGAAAGGGTAATGCTTCATTGTGAAAGAGATGTGGAAGGGAAAAGAGAAAGGGACAATATGATAAACAGCGAGTACTCAATTAAGTGTATAAAATATGTAATCAGAAAAAAAGGGACAGAGGGATTGAGTAAGGACAACCGAGGGATGTGCAAAGATGAGGAAGGAATGAAGAAAATAGAAAACGACGTGGACTCAGAGTTGAATAGATAAAATGGGGCAGATAGAAGAAGATATACAGCAAGAGTTAATCGGAAGTATGCAGGCACACAGAAATAAGAACATGCGAAAGAGAGAAATATGTTACTGTAATGCTCAGAATCTTGGTTTAAACGCCAATCAGCGTACGTGATAAAATATTTACATCTAACAATACACTTAAGGTTCAATGTACACTGACGGGAAAAGATATTGCAACACCCCCATTGCATTGTACAATTTACTTCTCCGTACAGCACATACAGACCGAATATTACACATGATTTCATGGCCAGAGACATGTGAGACTCGCACGTCTCGCAACAGAGAGAACCGTAGCCGCCATATCAATACTGCATGTACCCGCTGCGGGCAGAACGACAAGCTCTGATGCGGGCTGGTATCCCATCGTGTAGGTGGCGAATAATGTTCTGTGGTACACTATTCCACGCCTCCTGGACCACCTCGCACAGAGCAGGCAGTGCTGCTGAGGGAGTCACAGCACGGGTCGGGCGTTGGCTTATCGTACCCCACAGATTGTCGATCGTGGACGTATCGGCGAGCGTGCCGGCTAGGGTAGTTGAATATCATCGCGGAGAGCGCGTTGCGTAGCGCGGGCAGTGTGAGGGCGGGCATCGCCCTGCTGGAGCAGCGCACCACTCTCCCGTTGCAAGAAAGGTACCAGCACTGGCTGCACCACGTAATGGATGTCAATGATCCCTACATGTACACCAATGACAACCGTGCGTGGGAACTTATGGCACCCCGCACCATCACAACCGAGGTGGGCGGACGCGTGCGCTGGCCTGTGAGTCGCCACACACGCACACGACATCACTGGCGTGCGGGCAGAAGCGGCTTTCGTCACTAAACACCACTGCACGCCATTTTGTGACCCAGCTGATCCGCACAATGCACCACGCGATATATAATTCGATTATAATTCTACAGCAATTAATCCTGCAGCTAATGGTTCCCAACGGTGCAACGTCTCATTTGGTGTAAAAATCGTGTTCGCCTGACCCCTTGCGGGGTCTTTTCGAACAGTGGGCTTCTAGTGGGTTGTGACGGAAAACTGAGACACGTTGATGGCCATTTGGGCCCGTCTCTCGGCGCGGGTGGCGGCATGGTCTACCAACGATTCGTCGATCTTGTCGTTCGTCAGTGCTCCGCGATCGCCTCGTAGTGCGTCTACGGCTATGGGAATGTTCGTCTACCCATCGTCGCAAGCACCGCAGCCCCGACATCGCATCACGGCCCACGTGCTTAGCAATGCACGGAAAGGACCACCAGACTTCGCGCAGGCCAACAATCCAATCCCGCTCAAAATTGGTCCAATTGCTTAAAGAACGAGTACGATCCGTGGTATACCTAAGTGCCACTAGGCCATATCACAGTGGACAGCCACAGTTTAAAGCCGTGGAGTAGATGGCGCGTTCGAACCATTTCGTTAAGATGCCATTACGTCACCAGGCGTCAGTTCGACCTAACATCCGTTATCGCCTACCTGATTGCTCGTGCCCTTCCTGGTGTTGCAATCCTTTTTTCCGCCAGTGTATTAAACCAATACAAATACCTCTCAACGTCTACTCTAATAGTTATTCCATCCAACTACTACACGAAAGTCATACAATAAGTGATACATACTTATTTCACGTGGGAGGGAGTAGATCAACTAAAACCTGGACAGAAACAAAACGACGATTCAGAGTATTTGGTTGAAAATTTGAAATAACATCCATTGCTCAATCAAAATTGTTCACTGCATTTGAAAGTTCTACATCAAAATCGATTTGGACCTAATACCTTGTAAACGTTCATTGATCGATGTGTTTGGCGTTGTCGGCCTCGGTTATTTTAAGTATTCAACCAATATCTTCGTTCCACATAAATAGGAAATGTGTGCTACCTGCCCTGTATATGTAAGCTTAACTAGAGACTAGTTGACGTATCTGAAGGCACAAAAACAAGCAATCAACCCAATTTTGTAATTATAATAAAAATCACTTTGAATCCTAGGTATTTCATCATTTTAACATTAATAAGCAGCTAAGCGTTCATAGAAAGGATTTCAGGATATTCAGTAAACAATTTGTAAATCTATAAAATCATAGATTACAACCGAATGGGTAACAACCAGAACGGTATATGTGACATTTCGTAATTTCTGATAAATATGTTTATTTAAGTCAACATCGCTGTAAAATCGTGGTCCTTTGTTTTAACATTAAAACTACGACATTTCAATTGTTCATTAAAATCTAGAAAATACATTGCCATAGAAATATAACCTAAAATATACACGCTTTTCTCAGAATTTATAAACTGTCATTTACACCGTTCCGGTTTTCACTCATTCAATTAATCTTTCTAAATTATCGGTGTTAAACGTAAGGAAGGAAATAGGTCTCAGTAACCGGCAATGTGAACAAAGGCAACACGGCGGGGGTAACAATGAGGGAAACAACAAAGCAGCACGTCTCTGGGCGACAGCCTGGGCCACTTCCACCGAACATCCGACGGCGGAGGCAGGGATGCCACTATGGGTCCCCTAAGCAAAAGGAGGCCAGAGACTACACAAAATGACAACTAAATAACACATCTCCCACAGCAATGCTCGAATTCAAATTACTTTTAAGTAATTTCTCTTCAACAGGTATGTTCGGAACACCTACACTCACGGGGAAAATTCAAATATGTTTTCGATAAAAACAAATATTAAGAAATAACTCGTGTCTGCTAGAAAATTTCAATTTCTAGTTAATTATTTTTGCTCGAACAGATCTTGTATGTTCCTCAAAACAGACAATATAGACATATTCGTTTATCACAAAAAAATTAACATCAATAGTGTTTTTGTAAAAAAATATACTAAAACGCAGCAAAATAAATCATTTTCTTGCCATCTGGTAGCCTTATTTCCTCTCGATCATATGCGAAACTATTTTCTCTATCGCTTAAATCAATTACGAGTTATTTCGAAAAGCCACCAACAATATTTTTAGACTGTCACTAAAATACTTCAAGACATGTTGTAATTAAAGCATCATTCAACAAACTCACTAGCGAATAACAGAATCTCATCTCTTCAACATATTTTATTGTCCGAAGCGGATTATAAATCGCCCCAAAACGATCGTATGTATATTATAAAAGATAAAAGCTTTCTCAACTTTTAAAAAATTTCATGCCATAGTTTCAGAGAAACTTATTTCCATAATAAGAGATCATAAAAAAGTATTGAAATGTGTAAACAAAAATCAAATAAAAATTTTATATTTTTACAGCAAAATAAAACATGTTCACGGGTACCAGAAGCAAAAGGGTCTAAGATCAAAGAAGAGTTTGCTTTTCGACCAACTTTCCTTCTTCCCATCTTTCATCGCCCAAAATCAAAATATAGAAGCAGTGTGTTCCACCTGAAGAAAAACAGAAGCCGCAACCATGGGGTCGAAGCTGGGGGGTTGGTGGACCGGCGTAAAGGAAGTGGAGCTTCGCAACCAACGTTTCATCGTGGACCAGCCTCCGCCATTCAACACACATATGATGGCAAAATGGAAGCAAACATATGCGTACGTGACCGTGATGATGCGGATGGCAGTCATCTTAGACATGACTCTCGACCAGTTCAAGGTAATTGATATTGATTAATTACTTTACGTTTCCGGTCTCGTCAACCGCTATTGCCATTAGTTTCACATGTGTAAAACTAGGTGGCTCAGGGCATCAACTGATGTAACTGCAGTGCGCCGGGAGGTCCTATATTCGAGTCTCGACAGTGGTGGAATTTTCGACACTAGCATGACAGTTAAGTCGCTGTATGGAGGAGAATTCTAGCGACCGGCTGCTCTGATCCGTAGTTTTCCGTCGTTTCTTCGATCAACACCGGGCGAATGCCGACGCAGTACACTAACAAACAGGTCACGAACCGCGCGCGATCTTTCCTTCCTATTTTTTGAATTGTTGAATATTTAAGAACACGAGCAATTTGTCAACATGCATCAACTTCTACACAATGATTCTCAATAAATGGAAATGTGAGATACCAAATAAAGACTAATACAAATTTCAACGATAGGAGGGGTGGCAGAGACAGTCAACAATGGCTATTAAATTACGTTCCGTGTGTCACGCCAAACATTGTTAGCTAGCAGTGTTCGTAATACATAACGGAAAAAAACTAAATGTTTTAAAAACATTAAAGTATAAAATTGATAAATTCACTACGCTAATTTTCCATTAATAATAATCTCCATATGTAATGAACATGTTTATTTCAGATGGACATGGAAGCCGTGTTGCAAGAAGAGATGTTAGCAGCCCAGGAAGAGGCGGCCAAAGAGAAATGTCCCGGAAGCGGCGAGCACAGCGGCCAATCCTCCGCGGATCATAGCGCAAAACACTCCGCCGACAAACCCAAGAGAGGGCGGAACCCCATCTGCGACGCTCTACGCTTCAAGTGCCCCGGTCCCCTAAAACACGATGACGTAGCTAGCGTGCAGCTGGAGGACCTCGAGGCTCCTCCAGACCTTCCTCCGGCGGACGTCTGCCCACTGAAGAAGCGCATCCGATGGACCTGCGTGCCTCCGCCCTTGAGCATGGACGAAATCGACATGGCAGTCGGCAACAGCCTAGAAATGGAAATACAGCAGAACGTCAACACCCTGAACACCGAGTGGACTCCCAAGTACTGCTATGGAACTAGAAAAATGGAAAAGGATTCGTTCGAGTGCTTTTTCGGCCAGCTGAAAATCGCCAAAAGGAAGGAAAAGGAGGCAGCTAAAGGTCATGCAGACTGTAACGAAAAAAAGTGTCCACATCATAGCGAAGGACATCACGTCGATGCGCCGTGTCCTGATAAAACGTGTCCGATGCATAACAAGCAAAAATCTGCTGATGGTAGACAATCCGAAGAGGTAGGTGCATTTCATTTTACGAATTCATTCCACGTCAAGTGGTCTAATTTTGGGAAAGTGTCCCACGTGACCATCTAGGTTTTGTGGCGATAGTTTGTGTCGAATTCCAAAATATTGTGAAGACGTATTTTCATAGAAGAAATAGATTTTGAGATAGAACGGTTGTTCTGACCCCGTGCAGCATCGTTGTACAGTACAGATTTTTGCAACTTTGGGAAATAATATTTACTTTCCCGCTATTGCTTTTGTGTCATTGTATTTGCGTGATGACATAAATATGTGAATAGCTTTACTACATACACTTTTGCGATTTACAACAAAATTCTTGTATTCTTTGAATTTTACCTTGAATTTATCTTCGTGACATACATAGAATACCTACGATTCATGATATATAAATAAGTGAAGAGAACGAACATTTTGTCCTTAACATCATTTTATTAATTGAAAAAATAATTGGAATACTGATTCTAGCTTCACATTTTACCTATTTATTTAACTGTGGGGAAAATGTCACATTATATAATCTTACGCACTTTTGAAGGGAGGATATCATTTTTCATAATAATGAAAACATATCCCACTGAACTTCCTAATATTATCTATATAACTGTTATGCTATTCTTGAAAGAAAAAAAATTACGTATTACGGTTGGTATGTTAAGAGTGTTGATAATGCGGCGAGATCACGAAATAAACGCTCCACAAAAAATCTGATTTAACAAAACTATTTCTGGTGTGTTTAGGATGAAATACCACCTTGTGATCCTCGACGGAAAGAAAAGCCGAAAGACGTGGAGTGGGTTGTGTTCGGAAAGAAGGTACTATAATTTAGTGAGCATTCTTGTTAATTCATTTAGAAGAGCGTGTTACAAAACAGTCTAAAACATGTAGTTCCCACCATTTCCACATCACTGTAAAATTAAGTCAGTTAAAAGTATTCATTCATGGCTACTTATCATACATTGCTCGAAAAAGAAACTCGAATTATGAATTACTTTACTGTGGTCGATTTTATTGTTTCTGAATAGTATTCAGCTTATAGCGTATTAAAGAGGAGATAAATAGTTACATGCTTGATCTAGTTTATGAACATTTTTTTTCATGATATTACATTTTTATGAGAGATGTATTAATGCTGTTTTATTCAGTATTTTATTTATAAAATCATTTGTGTTAAAAAAACATGTTCGTTGATAAAAATAAAATGTGTAACCTATCCATCTAATAATCGTGCTATATCGTGTTACGTTATATTGCAATTTAATAAAAAATATTACACTCTCGTAGCCATTTTTTTATTTTTAAGAACTGTAAATTTTTAAACGGAAATATAATTAAATATATCCACTAACACACTATGCACTCCTTGAAACGTGTACGAGTATTTCCCTTAGCTTTCATGTATATTAATATACATACAAATTAAAAAATAACGTAGAAAATAAATAAATATATTCTCTCTTTCTAGCCTGCAGAGTCCGAGGAGAGTTTGGTAGACGTAGATGACCCACGATTCGATGAATGGTGCCACGTCGAAAAGTCTCTAATGCAGGTATAGTGGATGGTAGAACATTACGATGCACAAACTGAACATTCTTTTTACTTACATTCGTGTGTATAAATATCCAATATATTTTAAACAGTTGCATACCGCTGTCATTCTGGTATTCAGGGAACTCCAAATATGAGGTTCATCGACGGACACAGAAATGACCTGCAATATAACTGAAAGAAAATTTTGTATATTGAAGAACAAATGCCATATGTATTTAGCAATATATTACAAGCATTTCTGAAAGTTTCTATTCAAATATTTTCATTTTATTTTTCATATATATATTATATATGCAATGCCTTATCCTGAATATTCCACCTTGCGCACATGAGTTTATTTATAACAGTTAAACTCATAATAAATAAAACAAACTCTTTACCTAAAGAAAGAGAAAAAAACTGCGTCAATTGGGTCAATTTTTTAGCCTCCTTTGTTTTGCGACTGTTAAAGGATTCCTAGATAATACCAAAAAAACTATGTTTAGCTGTAGGACACACAAACACTTCACTTTCTCAATATTTATTTTCTGCATACATTTTATTATAAAAATTTATTAAATATATTTTACCGTTTAGCTCTGGTAAAATATCATTTTATCGTTGTTATTCTGAGATTATGCAGCTGAATGACACAATAAGCACCTGTTCTTCCTAACATCGTATTATCTATTTGCAGTAACTACAGAAGTAGCACTCGAAATATCGGGTAATACAAATAAATACTTGTATTACATTAAACAGTGATAACTGTATTATCATTACACACTGCCCTGCAGCTCAAGGACGAAGTCCAGACGAACGCGTGGTGGCAAAAGTTGCACGACGATCTGCCGGATGTGCAGGAGTGGAACAAATTCCTCAAAGAGCGTTCCCGTCAAGACAACGTCCCAAAACTCCGCTGGATCTCCACCATCTGGATCTACGCAGAGTGCTACCTGTTCCGGCGAATACACCAAATCTTCCGCTTGACCGAATCTGTCAAGTAGGTGTCCAATGTGGGTGTGAGCACAGTTTTAACTATGACGATGATTAACCTTTTCAACCCGAAGGTGAGGTTGTCCTGTAGACAAGAGAGGAAGTTTGCTTATTTTCTGTCATCGCCAATCCTGAGCAAATTACCATAAGAGTGGTTTGTTTTTGTTCTGCAGTGTATAATATTAAGGGTGATCAGAAGAAACTGGTGTTTTTAACTGATTCCCGTCATTTTAGCTGAATAATCAAAAACATGACTCAAGATGGTTTAATTAACAACATTTTTATATGAATAATCAACAATTTACGATGCCTTCATGCCGTCGTCAGTGTCACCGCAACAGTCATTAAAAATTAATTCCATTTTTAAGAGACGTCTAATCTATCAAAGCCTTTCTTGATATACCCAATTTCAGTCAGTTGCCAAAATATATTAAGTTCTAAATATTCATTTAGCAAAATTGTATGTTCCTATTTTTGAAGTGCATATAACTTTTTCTTATGTGTACATTTTATGTTACATTGATACACAACTATACATAATTAGACATTGACGTGTAATTTGTTCGTTACAGGGATTACGATCCATTCCGCAGGATGAAAATTAAAAGTTTGCTCCAGTTGCTAGATGGTATGCATATGGCCGCATCCGACTTCTACAGAGTGATCGACCCTCAGAATAATCCAACGATAAAAAACAGGGACGCTCCAGAATACCTCAAAATGTTCCTTTCCTTGTCCTTGTGGGGTAACAGAACTGATCTCCTGAAGGGCGGACCTACAGTAAGAGCATTTTTTAAACTCATTTCAATTTCTCATTTCTTTGATTAACGAATAACACCTTTCTTGGTAGCCGTTCTGCATTACATGCCTAAACACTACCGCAGATTTAACTTTAAAGTTGTGTCTCTAAATCCATCTTACAATAGCTACTGTCATGTAAAAATAAGAAACCAGTAGACAAACTTTCCACTTCGAAGTCGTAGGCTTCCGCGACCGAGTCATGTGGGTGATCTGGGCTGTCCGGGTGACGCCGCGTCGAAGGCTGAGTTGCCGACGTTTCGACCATCCTGTCGTGGTCTTCCTCAGGGCTGGTACCAGCGTCACCCGGACAGCCCAGATCACCCACAAACTTTCCACTTTGCCGCAACACACATGCAGCATACGCTTTATCTCTGATGCAATTTATTCACGCTTTGAAGACCTCTAGACCCACCGACACTCACCTATCAAAACCATACAATAACATGGATCCCTACGAATACGTATAAATACGGCAAATACGCAAAATATGCCAATATGTACGAGTATTTACACCAAATACGTAGGTGTATTATTTGACAGACGACTCTTACAGGGCAAATATCATGCGCATAATTACACTAGTCACTTGAATAACTTATCATTTATATCTCGTACTCAATAAATCATCCCTACTTCAAAAGCATCCATCCATTCATCTCTACCAAACAATGATACGACCAATATCAAGCTATGCGTCTCCAGTCTCGGCCACAGCATCCAAACCACATATTTTTAAAATTCAAACGTTCAAAAATAAAAGTTCTAAAAATAATCACATAAGCACTCTTGTTTATCCCAAACTTTCAACTCTATCAAGAAGCCGGTATCACTCCCGTCAGTGTATATTTCTCAGTTCTATTCGCAAAATTCTATAACAAAATTCCTCAAATACCATCAGCTACCCACTTCAAACTCAGTAAACAGATCTCTAATTGGAAACGTTTGAAAATAAAACTGATCAGGAAATATTTTGACCCTCCATTAGCAAACTAGACACGATTAGCCACTTAGGCGGACGGGCAGTCGGGCGGAAGTATAGCCGAACGAACAATCGGAACATAAGGTCGGAGGGTGGATAAGTCGAAATAATAAAAAAGATTGGGTTGGTCGAAATGAAATTCAAAACGAATGAAATACTAACAGACAATTACAAACGATTGGCAAAGTATTGTATGGAGTGACAACCTGATGGGTGAATGTCCTGTAAACGGGCGAACTAATGGAAGGCTGAAGTAAGGTAATACAAGAGTTCACAATCAGCTCTCTGAAACGACACCCACTCAATTGTCTTTAAAACATTTGGTGCTTGGAATAAATGCATTAAAATTGCTTCCGTGTTGTTTCAGAGCCCCATGACAGACTTCACAGGCGGCAATCCCCTTATTCGCGTCCTAACATTCTCCCCTTCCATCCTCGTCAACGAAATGGACGTGGTTTGGCAACTCCTGACGAGCAAAGATGTCGGGGCTGAGGTTCGAGTAGACATTGTTACTGACAATGCCGGCTTCGAACTCTTTGCTGATTTTCTGCTGGCGGACTTTCTCGTCACCTACCGTCTTGCAGCTACAGTGCATTTCCACGTAAAGGTTCGTAAAAGCGCAGTGTTCTGTTTGCGAACCCTTTACTCTGAACCTATCCGAATTCAAACCTGTAAGTTTTTACGGGTACGTGTCACAGACACACCTACATACTTAGTTGGCGCAGTGGCAGCATTGCCGTTGTCGCTACTGCGACGCTGACAGGGAGGTTCTAGATTTCGGTTTCTGGATCGACGTCAATATGGAGGACTGGAGGGTAATTCTAGCGGCCGGCTGCTCTGATCGGTAGTTCTCCGCGCATTTTCCAATCAATCATTCTGGCAAATGCTGTAGCAGTATATTAACAAGCGGGCCACGAATTTCTCAGCCTCATCCTTGTCGTCCCTCACCTTATATTCATATATACGAGTACATATTATAGCGTCGTGCCACGCTCAAAACAGACGACCACGTGGAAATCGGCGAAGCATTGCCGGATGTTAAACAAAGGGCGGAGTGAAGACGCACTGGGACTTTCCGTGAACGAAGCGGGCCCAGAGCGGCTTTGGGGACGAGGCAACGGGGGCGGCAGGTAGAGCCAAAAGGGCCTGTATAAGGTCAGGAGAACAATGCCTCAGTCTTCTTGTTCTAGCGGCGTCGGCGACACGTGAAGCGCGTGTGTGTGCGTGTAGGTGAACTAGGGCGAGGGGCCGGCAATTCATTGTCGTGACTTGCGAGACGCGTAGATAGCCTCAAAGTAGAGCGGCTTCAAACAGGGAACATCGGTGGTAGGTTGCGGTGTGGTAGCCGTTCTTAAATTATCTCTCCTTGTAGTGGGTCTACTTATTTAGTTTATTGTGTGCAGGGTAGTTGTTAAATTGAGACTACGGTCTAGATTGGGAATAAATCTACTGTTTTACAAACCACTCGTCTGTGTTCGATTACACCCGTATGACGCCACAATACATACACACACAATTTACATGTACCACATTTTTAGATATGTCAGGAGACCAGTCCAGAGTTTCCAATGTGTCCCGGCTGGGATGGATCCATGCTTGGGAGAGCTACCTGGATCTGGAAAACCCCACAAGTCAACGTGTAGGTCGACGCCCAACCTGACATTTCATTCGAACAATACAACATTCACCACACATACGGGACTAATTACCATAATTGATGACGCGCCTGAATAAACTTAATGATTATCAATTGTGCGTCGCGAGTTGTATCACGACCATCGGGCAGCGCCTCATCGTCCGAATATCTGCTTAGAAGCACCCGAGGGCGAGGGGGTCGGTACGCCCGCGACACTAGCGCCACGCATGAATTTCCAAAAGGAAAAATAATGTTTATTTTAACAATACAGTGATATATAAAGAATTAGGTTACATTTGTATTTTATATTTTTTTAAATGACTTAATATGTTTGTAACAAATAATGTACTTCAGCTTCCGGGTCAATGACCTCCATCTCGATCAGTTTTGTCCAGTTGCCCTAATCTATTGAGCAAATGCTGAATGGCCCCTTGTTTTGCTTCTCGAAGTAACTGTAGCTTCACTATGCGCACGTTTTGATGAACTCTTCCTTTTGTTTGTAATGGTAAGAGTAGATGTAAGGGTCAGCTGATATTTTGTTAGCAGTGCAGAAAAATCATTCTTGCAATTCGTGTACCGATGCAAATAAATTTTCCATAACTCAGAAACGAAAATAAATATTTTTCAAATATTGCTAATCTTGCGATTTTTAAAATTTATTTTTAATGATTTATGTTAAATTTTTACTCATCTTTCAACTATTTATAGTTAAAATGACGGGAAGGGATTCTGGAACTGAAAAAAACGTGCGCAGATTATCTTTTCACCCCTACGTCACATACAGTTTTACTGTTTTTTTTGACTGAATAAATCTAATCTAAATCTGAATGTCGGTGTTGCTGAGCTCGGAAGCAGCAGCGGTGGCCTGATGGGATCTGAGTGCCGAGTCTTTCCTGTCACGCTATATGTTACTGCAGTCTCTCTTTGTGTTAAAATATTTAATTTATTGCACTATTATATGAGGGTACTTTATTTGTTATTCTTAAGCAGATTGCGTGCTTCTTTACGGAACATCATTTCGTGTGGTTTTGTTCATCATTTCTGTTGCTGCGGGCCACGAGTTGTAAAATTACCATTTATTTTGCTTTCTCTTCTTAGGCTATGCCGTGGCACATCTCGGATGCCACACGGGACGATGTAGAGGAGATGATCATGTTGATGGCGAAGAGTCGGAAGAAATCGGTTCCTTTGGCGAAGTTGGCGGAGCGGTGGTACGACTATCTCGCCTGCGGAATATTTGTGTTGAAGGCGGACTACTTTTGGACTCTGCCGTTCGACTACAACGATATGCGTTGTTCAATGGCCGGCGCTCCCCTGTACTCAGATCTCATTTACTCTACTCTTATCATATTTAAGGTAGGTTGAGTCAATTCGCAATAGCAATTGAACGAGATGTTTCTGTTAATAAAACCGGAAATGTAAACAACAATTACGCTGTGACAGACATTATGTTACAGAGAAAATTTCTGGAACAAGCCAACACCCTATATTAATTTTCGAGTTAAGTATCAAAATATTGCACGAGTCGACTGACACCAAATTTACCTTTCGTTATTTTCTAAATATGTGTAAACATTTATTGTTTTTTGTATTTATTATTACCTTTTTCGAGAATTGGAATAATTTATTGTGTTCCAAAACGAGGAATTTGAAGTGAAACAAATTAATCTTCACATACTTGCGTATTTATCAATTATTTTGTTTATTTCTAGGGAGATCTAAACTACCGCAAGTTAGTAGGAGATATTAATTGGGATCCACTGACGCCTTTCAAATTGGCTCTGCGAAGCTTTCGACCAACAAATATTATTGCGATGCGTACCTACAAAAGCGACGTGTCCTGTGGAGTCCCAGAGTATGCATATCTGTTCTACCCTGGCATGCCTAAGAGCTGGATGCTGACAGGAAAGGTAGCACTTGTGCAATACGCCCAAAAGAGGCACTGTGTACCGGGGTTACCACATCCTCCATAAGGATCTAACCATATCCGGGGCGATACTGGCAATTTTGATTATAAAGCTGTAGGCCAGGAAGAATACTTGCAGAAGTCGCAAGGTTTTTAGTATACCAACACCTATACACTTGAAATAACAAATCAATGAATGCGGCTCAAAAGTTCAAACAACCAGAATGTAAGTTTTAAAAAAGGCAAAAGTCCAAAATATCGAAAGCTTGTTTCTCTAATATTTGACATCGAAATATGCTGCATCTAAGAACAACTGGGGAATATATTTCGCATAACTGCAAACTTAATTATGTGCAACATGGTATCACATAAAAAAGAAATCTGTTGAAAATGAAAACATGAAAAAGCAAGAAACTTGTCATAAAACATGTAATTACTCGGAAACATCTTATAAGAAGAGCAACCGCTCATTTTTATGTACTTTACAATACTTTTCAAATATAGTCTCTGCCTCGAAACAGTGTTTTTTCTCTCATGTAAAATAAGAAATACTCTTCAGAGATATATTTGGTACTTTCATATCATTCATATGACATCACGGTATAAACTGAGTTTACGAAATCTATTAACGGTTTATTTATTGTGTATATTTCGACGTACGGCTACGCGTACGGCTACGAAAGGAGATAGACCACACAATATTTTTATTGACGTTGGAATACATTTATTTTTAGGAGATTTTAGTTTAAAATTACACCTTTTTGTTTGACTTTCGGTACATATATTGCTTGTTAATTAAAGTAAATCTTACTTTATACATATACAATTTGTACACTCCGTAATATAAAATCGATTCTAATGGAAATTTCACTTAACGTTTAACACCACTTTCGAAAATGTCTTCAATAGTATGCTTATCTAAAAAACTGTGAATCAGTTGTTTCGACTAAAAATAATATTGGAAACGATGTTGAGGGCTAATAATTAACTCAAACAACCGTACAAATTAGTATGGTCAATGCCCGGAATGGGTTTTCTCTTTTATCATAAGTTGTTTATTGTCCACTCAATATTCCTTTCTGAAATTCTCGGACCATAGAGCTTGTATATTATAATAGTGCAATAAAAGTAGGTCGATATGTTAATGGAGATCCACTCTTCAGAGTTCTGAAAGAATATTAAAAACGTAGTAGTTAGACTGTTTGTAAGTCTTTTTCGATTTTTCTTAGATAGATTTTGTGCATTATAAGATAAGAAATTGACCGAGTATACAAGACTATTGAGGAACTCAGAAATAATTCATTTCAGGTTTCTATTTAAATGAAATAAATTGTATTTTAATTGTTAATTTACTATTAAACAACTCTAAAACACAATTCTTTCACTTAATATCCCTAAACGAACCATACGACAAATTTTTGACGGCAATTATCTTTCTGGTGCACAAGAATAATTTTCAATTCTAGGTATTCTACTTTCATGTGTGACATATGTAACATGGAGCACTAGGGCGAAAATAACATTAAGAAAAGTTGGCATTATTATAAATTTTGCAATTATCAAAAAATTAGAGTATTCACCAAAAATAAGACCTGCACCAGATATTTAAGCGACCATCGCTCTATTCGACGAGAAGGCAAATTTTAGTGTGAAACCTGTGTTTGAAATAAAAAACAACAACATACATTTCCTGTCAGTCAAATAAAATAACACTAAAACTATAAGTTTCTTTTTCAAAACATTGTAAATACCTTCCTTTAAAGTTTTCGATTAATAGAACATTTCATTAAGATATATAATGTTTATGAGATCATTTTGTAATACTATTTTGTTTGTAATATATTTTCTAAGGTTAATTGTTTACTTTCTCAGAGTAACACGTACTTGCTTAATGAAGAGAAAATATTGCAATGCTGCGGTAAAAAGCGTCAGTTTTTCCAACCCAAAACTCTCATTGTGAGGTCCCAGAAGCAAAAAAGTGGTTAAATCTTGTACCTATATGTAGAAGTACGGTACTTTATCTAACACGTAAAATAGTGAGAATCCACGTTTTGACACTAAAAAACTCGTTGAAAATTGTTTGAGGAAAATGTCCGGTTGTTCATACGCCCACCTAAATCTAATACTAGCGCCTGAACTGTTCAGACGGGCAGCCAGGTTCTCCGGGCAGCCACGTTTTCACGTAAACCGACCGATTCACTATCAAGGACCCGTAAATTGTGAATTCTGACTACCGGATGTGATGGAGGAAATAATGGCCTACAAATACCAACACGATTTTTCCACATTTTCGAGAATGGAGTGCCATAACACCATTTTTCCTGACAACTACCTTTTTTCCGCTGAAGCATTACAATTTATTTATCGATGATTTCCGGTACGTCAATTGCTAAGGTCGTTGTAGTTCCATAAGTGTAGTGGAAGTTTTTTTCTCGGGAGGTGGCGGGTTTTCACCTAGCTGGATGAAGAGATCCGGCGCCGATCTACCGTCGGTTAGCGGGGTTTTATCCAACATCTCTCACCAGAGGAGCGCCGCCCTATCCGGGGCAAGTTCTAAGCTCCTGACGTCTCTCTCGGCAAGTGCAGTAGTATAGTGCTTGTAAATTGTGTGTGTAAGTAAGTAAGGGGAAGGATATGACAAGGAATGGGAATAAAATATCGCGTGTTAACTATAAAAGATACAATGTTGAAATTCTATAAAATAATGGCAACTTGAGTAGTCCTATCACGGAGTGAAAATTGCATTATCTCTAAGAAAGAAAAATTACATATTCAAGCAACAAGCATGATTTTTTTAAAGAGAGGAAAAGGTTGGACTTGGCTAGACAAACATAGAAATGAAGATAAAAGAAAAGAATTAAATATATTTAGTTTAAATGTTTGTATACAACTATACAAACATGACTGGAAAAAACATTTACAAAGAATGGAGCACAATATGCTACCTAAACAAGTGCTGCAGTTCAACCCAACAGGAAGGAGAGTAGGAAGACCACGCAGACGATGGTTTGATAAGTAAAGACGGAACAGGCGTCTGCCGAATGCTTGAAGTGCAGAAGGTGAAGTTGGTAAGCACAACACACTTAAATATATCTTGTGTTTTGAATTTACACCCAGCCTAATCTCTATTTATCTAATAAAAAAAGAAAATTAAATTATAATTTTAACTGTACATTTTATTTTATCAATCTTGCGTGAATTCTGCATTTCCTTTTCTAATTTCTACGATGAAAATATTGAACATCTCGAAGTACAAAAATGTGATAGTGGTGAGAGGAGGAGATGAATGATATGTCGTGGCCACTGGAAGTGGAAACACTGAAGATGGAGACGATGAACATAGAAGCAAATGAGTTTTCTGAAATGGTTAAAGGTAGTCTGTTCATTCCACTCTAATTAAAGACTCAAAAAATAAAAAAAGAAATCTATAAATTAATTGTAACCTACTTGTAAATGTGAAAGGATCATTTACATAATTATTTGAAATCCTTTTTGTTTATAATAATATTAATTGTAAATATAAAAGTATTTAAATCTTATTTCTCTTGAGCTTATCCAGTCGACGGGACGTATATTCGAATGTACACTACAGTACTGGCAGCATAAAGCAACTCCGACCGTTCAGTGCGCTGTTGCCACACATAACTACGCACATGGCACCACCCACATCACAGATCAATGATTAACATTTACTGACATGCTAAGACACGTATTGATATCATAACCATAACCTTCGCCACAGTTGAATCTCATCGCCTCCGCGACTGCGTAAAAGCTGAACTCGGCTGTAAGAAAGTTAACATATCTTCGCAAGCTGATTGCTTCAGAGCAGGTCACATGATGCACCACAGCACGTGCCAAGAGGGTTGTCATGGTCACTTAAATGCTGGTGCTTAAAATGGTCAAAAATTGAATTTCTTTACGATTGCGGAATATATTTTCCGAGCGTTATGGTGTCCAACAAGGTGACGGGAATGGTAATATATACATATACATATACATATGCATATACACACACATTATATATATATATATATATATATATATATATATATATATATATATACTTAGTATTAAATTTAGTGACTCGTGTATTTCTTCACTTTCATAGGTTGGTAGTACTAAAAGAGCTTAGGAAGATTTCGTCTCCAAAGTGAACTATCAGCGCATAATTTGTGGTTTCCTGTGATATTTTTTTTAACTACTAAGTTTTTCTAATGTTGCCGGAGAAAAAGTGTTTTAAATTTATTACTCATAATGGCTGGTGGATTATGTTTAATTTAACATCTGATTCCTCAAAGAATTTACTATGTGCAGACTAACTGCGAATTTACTATGTGCACTAACTTCAGTCGTGTTTTTCCTCTATATCAATATCCGCGAATGGTTTTACATATGGTTCTGTATTAATGCGAATAATTTTTTTTAAGATTAGGAATTAATAAGGAGTTAATAAGGGTTTAATAAGGATATACTTTTTTCTTGCCATCATGAACGAGAGAAATTTTACTATCATTTAAAGTTCTTTGGGAAGCACTTAACCTTAACCGAACAAAGGAACATGCTAGTTCAAGACGTCGGGGCGGAAGAGATATAATGGCGGAGTAAAGATGCATATACAGGTGACAGCAGAGGTGGCGACAGTGATGGCAGCGGCTACGGCAACGACGACGAAGACGACGACGACGACGACGACGACGACGAATTCCGCGTACCTACGTGTATTATGCAGCAGCGCCGAGTTCAGAAGACAACCTCGGGGACCAGGCGTATTACCTGGTACATTATCCGCGCTTTTTCCTTGCCAGTCCAGGGGGATCCTCCGACTCCTTCCGCAACTTTTTACAGCGCTGTCATCCCGCCCCATCCTACTCATCCCATCCCTTTACTTCGCCTACGTCTCAGTAGGCCTTCTTCCGCATCCACCGGTTACCCTGCCCCACAGCGCCACGCCCCGTCTCGTCCACCTCGTTTCAACTCGCCCACCTAACTCCCCGCATCGTCCACATAGTCTCCGGGTCTGCCAATTCCATTCCGTCACCCTGCCTCGCGTCTCTCCATGCAGCT